CTTATAGGATGGCCCCAGCAGAATTAAAGGAATTGAAGGAGCAATTACATGAATTATTGGATAAGGGATTCCTTCAACCTAGTGTCACCATGAGGCACACTGGTTTTGTTTGTTGAGAAGAAAGATGGGACTTTAAGACTATGCATTGATTATAGGCATTTGAATCAGGTTACAGTGAAGAATAAGTACCCTTTGCCCAAAATAGATGACTTATTTGACCAACTATAAAGAGCCCAAGTATTTTCTAAGATTGACCTCCGGTCAAGGTATCATCAGTTGCGGGTTCAGGAAGAGGATATTTCCAAGACCGCATTTTAGGACTCGTTATGGTCACTACAAGTTCTTAGTCATGCTTTTTGGGTTAACAAACGCCCCAGCTGTCTTTATGGATTTGATGAATAGGGTTTTTAGACCATATCTGGATAACTTTGTAGTGGTCTTTATATATGATATTTTGGTGTATTCGAGGAATCAAGAAGAACATGAACGGCATTTAAGAACGGTCCTCCAGACTTTAAGAATAGAGAAGTTGTATGCCAAGCTGAGTAAGAGTGAATTATGGCTCCCAAGCATGACTTTTCTTGGGCATATGGTTTCCAAAGAAGGGGTTGCAGTTGATCCTTGTAAGATTGAGGTTGTGATCAAGTGGAAAGACCAACGTGTGTATCTGAAGTCCGTAGTTTCCTGGGACTGGCATAGTATTATAGACGTTTTGTGGAAGGGTTCTCCAAGATAGCACTTCCCATGACTCACCTAACCCAGAAGGAAGTAAAGTTTGTATGGTCTCATAAGTGCGAGAGAATTTTTCAAGAACTGAAGAAAATACTAACTATAACCCCATTACTGACTTTACCTATGGGGAATGGAGATTTTATAGTCTACACTGATGCCTTGCACAAAGGACTTGGGTGTGTATTAATGCAACGAGGAAAGGTTATAGCCTATGCTTCCAGGCAGTTAACTCCCACTCATGAGTTAGAATTGGTGGCTGTAGTTTTTGCCTTAAAGATTAGGAAGCATTATTTGTATTAAGCCCAATTTAAAGTGTTCACTGACCATAAGAGCCTTAAGTACTTATTTTCTCAAAAAGAATTGAAAATTAGGCAAAGAAGATGGATGGACTTGCTCAATGATTACGATTGTACCATCAACTGCCACCCGGGTAAGACAAACGTCGTGGCAGATGCCTTAAGTAGGAAGCCCATGGTGTTGATAGCTCATATGATGGTCCAAGAGATGAAACTATTAGAAGATGCAGTAGAATGGCACCCAGATTTGCCCCTTGATGATGGGAAATGAATAATTTCATGTATAAGAGTAGAGCCCCATCTCTTTCAGCAAATCTGAGTAGCACAAAAGGAAGATCCTCAGCTCACGAAAATTCTAAAGGAAATAAAGTCAGAAGGAAAGGAGGATTTCCCTTTGGCAATGATGAAATTTTGAGATTTAAGGGTCAGGTTTGTGTCCTTAACAATGAGAAGGTAAAAAGGGCTATCTTGGAAGAAGCACATCACTCCCGTTATACGATATATCTAGGGAGTATGAAAATGTATCAGGATCTAAAAAAGGTCTTGTGGTGGAATAATATGAAGAGAAAAGTAGTGCAGTTTGTTTCTAGGTGTTGGACATGTCAGCAAGTGAAGGCTGAACATCATAAACCTATCAGGTAGCTACAACCCTTACCTATGCCATAGTGGAAGTGGGAGCGCATAACTATGGATTTTGTGTTTGGCTTGCCTAGATCAGGTACATGACATGATAGTATTTGGGTTATTGTGGACCGGCTCACCAAAGCCACTCATTTCTTATCAGTCTGTACTACCTATACCTTGGATAAGTTGGCCCAATTATATATCAAGGAGATAGTAAGACTGCATGGGGTGACTATTAGTATTGTGTCCGACAGGGACTCTAGATTTACTTCAACATTTTGGAATAGTCCGCAGTCGGCCATGGGGACCAAACTCACTTTCAGTACAGCTTTCCACCCTTAGACTGATGGACAGTCCGGAATGACCATTCAGACCTTAGAAGATATGCTGAGAGCCTGTGTCACAAATTTTAAAAGAAACTAGGATAATCATCTGCCTTTGATAAAGTTTTCTTATAATAAAAGTTTTCAGGCCAGTGTCCAGATGACACCTTTTGAGCCATTATATGGAAGGAAGTGCAAATCGCTTATATGTTGGGGCGAGCTCAGTGAAAGGAGACTGTTAGGGCCAAAGATTAATAAAATAACCTCAGAAAAGATCGCTCTAATTTGATAAAGACTTAAAACAACCCAAATTCGGCAGAAGAGTTATGTCGACAATCGGAAAAGAAATCTAGAATTTGAAATAGGTGATCAGGTTTTTCTGAAGGTATCACCAACTAAGGGCATACTGAGATTTGGCAAAAAGGGAAAACTGAGTCCACGATTTATTGGACCCTTCGAGGTTTTAGAAAGAATTGGAGTCGTGGCATAACGATTGGCCCTACCGCCCGAGTTGGCCAACATTCATGACGTGTTTTATGTGTCACTATTGAGACAGTATCAGCCCGATTCGTCCCACATCTTGAAGTATAAGCCGTTCCCGTTTAGGGAAGATTTGACTTATGTTGAACTGCCAATTGAGATATTGGACAGAAGAATTCAAGTATTACGCCACAAAGAGATTTTCCTAGTCCGGGTTTTATGGCAGTATCAATCGAGGGAAGAGTTAACGTGGGAACGAGGAGCTCAGATCCAGGATAAATACCCCCATTTATTCAATTAATTAACAATTTTGAGGACTACATATTTCAAAGGGGGGAATGATGTAAGGACCAAAGTTTCCTTGCCACAGTAACAAGCACGGCGGTAGGAGTCTGTTGAGAAGAGGCATCGCCATTTGTGGTTCAAGAGGCTTCGCCATCTGTGGTTCAAGAGGCATCGCCGTCTGTGACTCAGCGAGGCAACGCCGCACGTGAATGAGGGGTACCGCTGCCTGTGGCATCGCCGTCTGTGAATAAGGAGCAGCGTCGACTGAGAAGAGAGAAAGGCAACACCGCACGTGAACAAGGGGCATCGCCGTCTGTGAATGAGGAGCAGCACCGGCTGTGATGATAGATAATAGGTTAGTGCTGTGCACGAAAGGTCAGCATCGTCTGTGAAATAGGAGAGGCATCACCACCTGTGTAAGGAGAAAGGGGGGAGCAATGCCGTGAGTGTATGGAAAGAAGAAGTTTCACGCACAATAGTGTGATGGAGCAAAATTAGTGCATCATCGTGTGTCACTAATGTGCATGAATAGTTAGGGCCACGTACTGAGGGCATACAACTTTGAGTGCCACTTGTCCAGACTTTAAGGCACTTGGCGCCACTTGGACAGCCACCCCAACCACATGAGTACTTAAGCCTCCCCTCTCACTCCCACACCATTCATTCTTCCCTCATCTCTCTCTTTCTCTCTCTCTCTCTCTCTTTCTCTCTCTCTAAGGCAAAAGACTTGAAGAACCCAACCACTGTTGGAGTGGAAGAAAGCTGTAAAAGAAGGCTTGGAGAAGGCACCATTGTTGTTTAAGTAAGTGAATCCATCATCATTGCATTACAGACACGAGAATATATGAATTTATATGATTAGGAGATGAGTAATAAAAGTGCATGTGATGTGGTGATTTCTAATACCTTATTCACTAAAATTGGGGCTTTTGTTATATGATGAATGTGGATGCTGAAAATGAATATATGATTCACAAATCCTATAAGAAATGTATGTTTATGTGTGTACATTGTGAGAGAATAGTTGTTATCATTCTCATTACCATGAAATGAGGGTTATGGAACATGTTCTTGAGGCATGTATAGTATTACTATGAAATTTCAGGAATATACATGTTTTTGTAAAGGGCTTTTAAACAACCAAACGAGGTCCAATTGACCTCAAATCACTGCCATTAGAAAGATATGCGAGTCTTGTTGAAATTCTTTATAAAAAACGAGGTTATATTTCAAAATATAGGAGTATGTCACTATTGGTGGTTTTTCCTTAGATATTTCACTGTCATTGCTGTGGTCACTGGTTTTAACTAACAAACGAAGTCTATTTCCTGTCAAACTATCGGCATTTGAAAGGTCTTTGAGTGGCTTAAACTTACATGCAGAAATTATTTTGAGATTCCCCTTAGATGAAAAGTTATGCATCATTTTGTGAAGATATGTCACTGTGAACAGTTTTGATAAAACTCATAACTCTCACCTTGTTTGGCACGGGGCCTTTGAACAACCAAATGGAGTCAAAATGCTTTCAAACTGCCCTTGTTAGAAAGATATGTGTCTTGGCTTATACTTTGACTTGAAATTGTTTCAAAATACTTCACGGATTAAGAGTTATCGTTATATGAAGTAGGGTATGTCGCTGTCTCATGTACACATCAGGGTGCAGCTTGCAAAACCCCATTTTCTTGTACCTCTAAGAGGCTAAACGGGGCCCAATTGTCTTCAAACCACCCCCTTGTAAAAGAGACATGTGTCTAGTATAAAATTGGTTTTGGAACTATTTTCAAATTTCAAATGAAGGCCCAATTGTCTTCAAGCCTCTCTTATGTACTCACTAATAGGGCATAAGAGAGGGTCGTGTCTTGTAAGACACTAGGGATGTGTGTTTGTGTGAGGGCATTACGAAGTGGGACACCCACTTGTCATTGTCCTCCCTCCTGAATGAGGTTAGAGGTTTCAAGCTACAGGATTGACTTAGCCTGAGTAATGAAACTTCTATTTCAAGAGTAGGCCTCTCTAGCGTATGTAGTCGTAATTTGTTAAACTTACTGTGCTACCTAAAGTGAAGTGATTTATGACTTGTACACTGTGTATTGAACTACTTTTATCATTATACTGTTAGAATACTGAAAGGCATCATAGAGGGGCTCTTCTTAATATTGTCTGAATTAGTATGTAATGTTTACAGTTACAAAGTTGGTATGCAATGGTGTAGATTTGTTTACTGGGCTGTTAGCTCATTCCATCTTATTTACATGACTAGAGAGTGAAAGTGTTAGTCTCTGAGCTGAAGGCGGGTAGCTGTGTTGTGCTCGGATGGTTGAAGCTTGAAGTTGAAGAGTCGTCTTCCGAAGCTTTCTATAGTATATTTTTTGTGGTCTTACCACTATGATGTTTACTTTACACTTTGTATTTTTGGGTCATTAGTGCCTTGAAGAAAATTGTAAGAACTTTTGGACATCTAGTGAAATGGAAATAGTTGTTCTTTTGGAATGATATCTGTCTTTATTTGTAGATTTTAGTTTTACTTTCGTGGTTTGTTATTGATTCCGTGTTTTCATACGATTGAGCCACTCCCACCTGAGTAGCGTTCGCCACCTCATGTCACAGTCCCGTCCATGGTGCCATCAACTTGTACGGTATAGGGTCAGGGGGTAGGGTTGTGACACCTTCTAACTTTAACCTTTGTATATT